AATGCTTCCCGACGTAAACTTCAGCGTGAGCTGGATGATGCCACGGAGGCCAATGAGGGCCTGAGCCGTGAGGTCAGCACGCTGAAAAACAGGCTAAGGTAAGAGGCACCAARAGAAAACACACAGGGTTTTATCTAGGGCCTCGTGTTTCTTTARTGTGTCTTCATAATGCCGGCATCTTTGGGGAGCATCTGGCTGTGGGACTGCAAAAGCAGAGCCCCTAATGTCAGGTRCTGAGTCAAGCTGAAATCTTCTGAGAACCGTTGATAAGCTGCCAGACCACAAAGAAAATTCCGGACAACTCTTGGAGCCTAAACTCATGTGTTCCTAGAAGTTGATCATCCAAGACAGTCATAGGTAAAGATGGAGACACAGCTCAGTCCCACTTTTTCAGGGGTAAGTATTGGTACCTGTTCTCGTAGCCCACCCTGGTGGTGTCAGCACCTCATGAGAGCAGCTCTCTTGGAGATGAAGATTTGTGTCAAGTACAGRAGGGAGTCAAAGGAAGTGAGGCCAGTACAGGACAAACCATCTCGAAGGGCAGGGAGCAGCAAGTAGCTGCCTGGTAGGAATGGCAGGAGGATGCAGCACCACTTCACAAATGAGCAGTGTCTTTCAGAGAACCCACTCTAAGTACTTGGGCTTGGTGCTCATAAAGAGGTAATATTTTGAGTTACCTGAGAGCGATGGTATGAAGCCAGCAAAGCTACCAGGAATGCTAGAGCATGCTTGGGCACAGCATGACCACTTGTTAGGAGATGTTTTTAAGAGRAGGTCTCAAAATTACTGGTGAAATTTGTCCCGTGGGTGACGTGGAGCGGAGCTGCTGAGCTCCCTCGCTGCTGAGCAGCAGCTCTCCCAGGGGCAGCTGCCGGCTCTGCAGTTCACACCGGGCAAGATGCGACACTTCAGCGGTTGCTGTTTTGTTCACAGGAGGGGAGGCCCCATCACCTTCTCCTCGAGTCGCTCCGGACGGCGCCAGCTCCACATCGAAGGGGCCTCCCTCGAGCTCTCCGACGACGATGTGGAGAGCAAAGGCAGCGACGTGAACGAAGCACCGCCCGCCCCCGCAGAGTAGAGCCTCCCCGCACCACTGCATGCAGAGACCTTCTCCACAGTAGTCGGCAGAACAAGGAGGACTTACGTGACCACCAAACTGCCTTGTAGCCTCAAAATCTGCCTTACGACAAGTCGGCATGCTACAAGGTTACTTATCGTAGGTCAACTATGTCTTAAGGCTCTCCAGCCTCAACATACTGCTTCAAATATAGGTACAACTGCTTTTTTTTTTATATATATATAGTAAACAAAATGGGATCGTCTCTGTTCAGTGCATCTATTTTCCAGACACTCATTGTAAAGCCATTTTATAAAGCATCATGTGAAGGATAAAACTTTTTTTTATCGATACGGAAACTTCATTCCCAGAGGGTAGGTGGTTGGGACAGACCCATTGTCATGACTATGCATGCTTTGTTGTTCAGACAACATCCTTCCATTTCTTCTGCGCTCAGGCGGCCCTTGGCCGCGTTGAGTCTATTGGATCATTGAAGACCAAACTGCACCTGTATCTCCCTTTGCTTCTTCTTGGTGCGATCCGCACACAATCAGCCAGCGAACTGTGAAAAGGCCTTGGGAAATGTTAGGAGGAAAATGTAGGGATGAGTGAGTAGTGTCCGTTTTTTTAACCTGCAGTGTCATTTTGAAGTGTTCTCAGCACCAGCTTCATCCGTTAGTGTTCGTGCAGTCCAGGCGAACTGAACTAGCAGCACCGCTCTTCATCCATCCAGGACTTGCGCATCCGTAGAGACCTGCTTATCGCCACCTGCAACCCATCCGTGTATATAGAGTAAGGCTAGTATAATGTGAACATCAGTGGAAAACAAACATGCAACACAGGCAAAATTAATTTATTAACTTATGGCTGAGTAATCTTCAGGACATGGAGGGGCCGCGGGGCTGCACCAGGATACGATCCCTTGGGCAGCGCCGTGCGTTAGCACCAGAGCGGCCTGGCCGGAGCCTCTGCCCTGCGGGGCTGCCGCCGCGGGTGCTGCCTGCCTACGAGTTAACATGCCAGTGGATGTGAATCCTTTTTTTTTTTTTTTTTTTTTTTTTTTTTTTTTTTTNTTTTTTTTTTTTTTTTGTCTTTTTTTTAATTTTTGAACAGTATTACAGCAAGTAGTTAGCGTTTTTTTTGTTTAAATAGCTGAAAAACTGACATTACAGAAAGTGCCTTAGACACTACAGTACTAAGACAATGTTACATATATAATTTGCCTATATAACAATGATTTAATGTATTAATTTTGACTGTGCTTCATATCATGTACCTCTCTAGTCCAAGTGGTATTACTGATATTAGTGACAATGAATCAGTGTTAACTAGGAAACTTCCTCTGCCACATGCTCAAAAAAAAAAAAAAACATGGATTTTCTTTTTGGTTAAAAGCTTTAACATCTGTCGCAAAGGTTTTGTTGTGTGTGTTTGGATATTTTAAATCAAACTGGCTGTTGACCACCAGGCATCTGACTGCAAATATCTTGTTTTCTTGTATACCCATATTTCTAGACAATGATTTTTTTGTAAGACAATAAATTTATTCATTATAGATGTGGCCGCCTGCTCTGTTTACTACCAGGAAGAGCTATCTGCTGAGGCTGGCATAGACCTTAATAAACGAGAGTATGACTGGATGCTGCCTTTTCCCTTCTTACTGCTTTTGGGTTGTGTTTTGCTTTTCTTGTGATCTACAGGGAGCAGAAGCTCGTGGCTCCCCCCATGGTCACGGGGCCAAACCTCCCGCTCCACSTGCACGGTGCTGGTTCCCAAATCCAGCTCTGCTGTTCTGCCGCCGGGGCAGCCCCCCTCTTTGTCCTCAGCTTCTGCCTTTAACAAGTGCTAATCTTTGCTTGGAGTAGACGCAGCGGACACGTGGAACCAAAACTGTGCAAGCTGGGGCCAGGGGCTGCTCTGCAGTGAAGGGGGTTCAGATGAAGGTGACAGGATTGAAGACCCCATTAGGTTATGGGCCAAAAAAAAAGTATAAAAATTGTAGCTTAGTATCTTTAGCTTAGCCTCAGTTTGATGGGTGAGGAGGTGCACCCAGCATGGGCTGGGGCTGCTGCTGCGGGGGGTGGCGTGGGACAGATGGACTCTTCTCGTGGGGTGGCTGTGTCCTCCCTGGCATGGGAAAGGAGGCCGTGGCACGAGGCCGGAGCGGCAGCTTCTGCTGGGGGGGAAGGGGCTGCAGCCCTGCGAGGCTGGACCTGACCATGCACAGGGATGTGGGGGCCTCACACGGGGCTCAGGAGGGAGAGGGTCCTCAGGGGGTCCTCAGCGTCCTGAGGCMGAGGTGCCACCCTCAGCCATCCGGGCTGACTCTGCTCCGTCCTGCTCCTCTGCCACGAGGGCTGCTCCCAGCAAAGGCCCCTGGAGCCGCTTCTGGGCCGTGCGCAGGGACCCAACCTCCGGCTCCAGCAGCCCGAGCCACAGCGGCGACGGGASGGACAGGCTCGGGCACCGCAGCCGCACACCCCCGTCCTGCAAAATCCACTCCTGCCACATTAAAAGAACTTTATTTTTGCAAGATTACTGTCTTGGATTTTTAAACCACATGATCGGTGTCACCACTGTGGTACAGAACACTGTCCTATTGAAACATGCCATATACATTCTGAATAAATAAACTACAAAGCCCAAGTTATGTACAAAGATCTTAGGCAAAGATAGTATGTTTACAAACCTATGTACAATAAAACAAATGTAAACAGTCAAATGCAGCCAAGGATGCACAGGAAGAGGACCACACAAAACCCAGGGGTAACTGGGGTCTCTCCCCCTCCCTCCTGCTGGGGCAAACATGGTTTTTCTTTTTTTTTTTTTCCTCTCAGCAGTTGTAAATAAACCAACTTGGAGCTGTGCAGCCAAATAAACGCGMCTGAACTGATTGGGAAGGAAAATTTTTAAACCCACAGACCAAATCCCAGTTGGGATTGCTGGTTCATTTTAAAATCCACCCATTCTGAGGCACATAAAGACAGCAAAAAAAATCACACAAATAACATTGCCTGAAAGACCCACAAGGTACAGTCGCCCAAAACTGTCACAAAAGCCCATAGGTGACACTGTAAAAATCTAGTCCTATATTACAGAGCTCTGAACATGGGTTGGATGCCTGAACAGTTCTGGGGGCGGGGAGCCCAGGGGCAGTGAAGCCAGGTGGCTCTGCAGCTCTCAAGGACCCTGCTTTAGAGGTGTTGAAGTCTTATTGATGAAGGCAGGTGAAATTTGTCTGATAAAGGGAGGGCACAGAGGGGTGGGAAACACAAGTTTGCTACAGCTGCTAAGTGCAGCCGTGCCCCGTGGCCTCGTGTCCCGCTGCCCCCGCAGGGAAAGCGCCCTAGCCCTGCTGGCCGAGGTGGCGCTCAGCCCTGCCGCGCACACGAGCAGCCCCTGCTCTGCCTCAGCCCTGCAGCAAGGGCAGCAGGAGGGCGCAGGGACACGCAGGGCCCCAAACCCACGGCACTCAGGCAGTCACTTACTCAKCTGCAGTAATTTGGGCGCGAGGGTGCACCTTAGCCTGGGGTGCGGAGGGCTGAACAACCCCCTCTCCAAGTCCTACCCTGCTAAGTTCGAGCTTTGCGGCACTGGCACCTCTTAAGAAGGAGCCAGGTGCTGGAGCAGGGAGGAAGGGAGAGGGCTTTGCTGGAGAGGACCACTCAACAACTCTTATCATGCTAAACCTACGCTAGAAGAGAGAAAGTGACGGCTTGAGCACTGCGCGACTGAGTTTGGGCTCGTGAGACCCCTGTATCCTGTGAAACAGAGCACTACACCTCTCAGCTTGTGCAGCACACAGCGTGTGGCCAAGGCAGAGAGCAGCTGCTACAGCGATAGGAGAAAATAAGTTGTATTAACATGGCAKGAAGGGCTGCGGGTGCAGGGCCCCTGTGCCGGGGGCGGCTGCGTGGCGCGGGCTGCGGGGCGCCCGGGGCGCTCCTGGGCAGGAATCAGAAGCACTTCTGCTCGTGGTGGCTTCAGAAAAGCAACTGCGAGTCCGAGCGTGGGCTGCCCGTGGCTCATACGCTCAGGGGGAGCATGCCTGGTGCCGACGACGGTCTGGAGGAGCCCAGGCCAGCGGGACCTTGATCGAAGCCATTTACYGCCCTGGGAAAGAACAAGAGACAAGTCAGTAAGTGACACACGGCCCCAGAAGGAAGCTGCTGCTTCTGCTCATCTCTCCCCACCACCAGAAGACAGAGACCATCTGCACCCCTGTGGCATCTTAATGACATCTGTGCCCGGGACAGGTCCAGGACCTCTTATGGCTGCTCAGGAGCTACTGAGGTCCATGCAGCTGAAGACATCCCGCTCCTGCAGCCCGGGGGGTCCATCCTCACCTTTAGCTCCCTTTCCTTCTTAAAACGGGACTGTTTGCCACAAAGTGGCTGCTCCACCCACCTGCAAGCCCTCATGGCTGCGTGCTTGGGGCGCCAGCTCGACCAGTGGCTCCAGGCTGCCTCCCCTGGGGCTGCTCACTGTCCCCTCGGTCCAGGGGCCGGGGACACCGGCACGCTCAGCGCTACCGTGAGGAGGGGCTCTGCAGGAGCAGGCAGCACAGCCTGCTACCCTGTGTGCAGCCCTGGGGACTCACAGGGCTGCACTGCCAGGACCCAGGGGTTTCTGGCTCCTCTCCTGGCTTTGCCCCAGCTCCTGCGGTTTGGTCCAACACAGCTTCCCACAGCTCTGGCAACAAGAGGACACGTCCAAGCCCCCATCGCCACTGCACTAGCCCCTTACCACTGTCACCACCRCTTATTCTGCTAAAGGTACGTGGGGGTGAGGAGGAAGAAACCCCCCAAGAGACACTCCCGCAAGGCAGGACCGGCCGCTGGTCTCAGTGGGCAGCTGGGGACAAGCAGCCTCCGCGCTGCCCTCGCTGCCCAGCTTGGGCCAGCTCCGAGCACAGGCAGCTCCCAGCGCAGGGGCTCTCGCAGGGCCCGTCCCTTTCCTTGCCCCTTCCCCATCCCAGCACAGCGTGCCACACACCCAGCCCTCGGGCCCCAGCCCAGGGAGATGGGGCCCAGGCAAGCACCCATCTCCCCCMCCACCACCAACCTCACGTTTGCCTCTTACTGGGATATATTTAAAGGTGTGTTCAGAGTTGCAGCAAGAGAGAAGCACGTTGAGGCTTGGACGTACTGCGCTATTTGCCAGGGCACGAAGCCCGGCGCGATCCCCCCCTGCCTCGGCAAACTGGTTATCAGCTGGGAAGCAGCTCTGCCAAGCGGGACAGGAGGAAACCAGCAAAGCTGGATTAAAGTGCAGCGTTTGCTGTCTAAAAAGCATCAGAGAAAACTGATCTTGGGCATTAGCAGACCTAACRTCCTGGAGATGCCCACGCGTGTCTGACACAGCAGCTGCGCACCGAAGCAGAGGTGACCAGAGGAAGAGCCTCCCCGTGACTCGGCTGCTGCCACCATGGGATGGCGCCCGGTCGCTGCGCGCACGAGCCCGGGCTCTCCCCGGGATGCGCCTCCAGTCAGGGATCTCCTGGCTTTGCTGCTTCCTGGGATCCGGGAYGCCCGAGAGCGGCACAGGAGCCCCAGGCCCTTCACAGGGGTGAACTGTCCCCCTGGAGCACAGGGCTGGCCCTGGACCGAAACAGCGAGGCTGCGTCTGCAMGGGGGCAGGTGTGGGGGGAGCCTTGGTTCCCCTGTGCACAGGGCCACCCGTGGGCCCTGCCTCCAGCCAGAAAGGGCCCCGCCGCCACCCCATGCTCTCAGGAGCACGACAGGATAGCTGCAGCTCTCCAATTCGCCCCTGCAGACAGGCAGGCTCCACTCGAGCAGCACAAACTGTCCCGGTGCCACTACTCCTGCGCTCTGAGGGCTCCCGAACAGGTTTCTAGCAGCCAAGCGCTCACTGCAGGGAAAATCCCTCCGCCGGTGAGCCCGGCTTTGACCACGCACACTGCCAGCAGCGTGTACGGCGAGCTCTGCAGTGTCCCTCGCCACTCCTCACCTGCCCACAGCGCCCGACACTTGGCCTCTCCATGTTCTGTGTGCCCGGTCTCAATCTGCGAACCGCAGGCTCCAGAGAAGCCCCGGCACGGACTTCTCCAAAGAAAAGCTCCTATTTTAGGCAGAGTTGCTTAACACACGTCACTGACTCACCGCAAAGCCACCAAGAGAAGCGACTAGCAAGGAGGACACGGTTCTTGGGAAGATGGACCAGCAGTGTACACGACTGGGAGGACCCACAGCATGGACACGCACGAGGGACAGGACCCAGCCAGGCTTCTGGCTCGACACAGAAAAGGCAATTCCCATCTGGAAGACTTGAGATTTATCTATCATTTGTRGTTTAAAAACTACTGTCAGGACAGCCAAGAGTGCTCATTTGTGGGAACTTTCCCCAGGYACCTGCATTGCTCACAGCACCCTAACTCACCCAAACGTGCCCTCAATTTTGATGCAAAGATGAAGTTTATATTTGTAGAAAGCCCCTCGGCAAATGAAGCACAGGAAAAAGCTTCAAATAGTAACAAGYGGGGGCAGGAGGCAATGCTGGAAGCTGGAATTTTGGCTGAGCGTATTGAAACCATGAGTTGGGGCTGTAAACATGAAAATGCACACAAAAARAGATATTTTAGATAAAAAAATAAGTGAAAATAAAAATAACACATTAAGTAGAGCAATTTTAAAAACAGAAAGGCTCCCCCCATACTCCAGCCACTGACTGCCCTGTACAGACCTGGCCCACAAGCAGGGCTGCTGCTCCCGGAGCTGGTGCTGCCCAACAGCCCAGGAGCTGCCCGCAATGAGGAGCCCAGGAAGGGCCACTTGCCTCCTGCTTTTGGCTCTTTGCCCCATCCATCGACCCAACCTGACGTGCTCCCCTCGTGCTCRGGGCTTCCTGAGCTGCTTCTGATGGAGTTCCAATCAGCAGTCCCTGCTGGAAGTGTCAACGGGCATTTCTTACTCCCTCTTTCTATAGGGATATGCATTTCACATCCACTTCTGACCATTCTCTCCAAATCAGTTGTATTTAGTTTGCTCTCTGCAAACCTGCTTGGATCAAATCTGGGTTCTGTAGCCTGCTAAGGATACAAATGAATCAATGAATATACATTTAAAGCAGTTCTGTATTTAGTGTCTTTACASTGGGGCCTTCTGAGCTGTAAATGCTGAGCAAAACCTGGGCAGAAGATCCTTTCTGGATCAAGCCAGCCTAAGGACTAAATGGATGTGGTCCAAGTACGCATGGAGACTAGCTCAGCAAGAAAGCAAGAGGAAAAGTGACTTTCCAGACAGATCAGAGCCTTCAAAAAGGCCACTTGGTCTCCCAAGCAGCAGCAATAGCACAAGGAGGTACAGGGATGTCCTGAAGATGTGAAGAAGGAGATAGGGATAAATCTGGGGCTGGTTTTAAGCTGGGAGGTCACCTTTTGACCTCAGGGGAACCCTCTCCATTCCCTCAAGAGGCTCCAAACAAGATGCCCTGAGCTCCATGCACCCAGGCTCTTCCAGCACTGCTGCCCCGTGCAGCAGAGGGGCTGCCCGGTCACCGGGGCAGCTTTGCAGGCCCAACTGCTGCCAGCAGCTCCTCTGCCAGGGACCGCGGCAGCGAGCGGGAACACTCTTGACCCGGCACGCTCCGTCACTGCCCCTGCTCGTAACGGAGCTCCACGTGCTCCACCTCCGCGCCAGGCGCTCCCGCCGGGAAGGCCAGTGCGGGACACAGCACCTGGAAGACCCTCGGAGGCGAGACACCACAGGAAAGGCAAGCCAACCTCTGCAATGGACTGCATGTGCTTCATGTGGGCTCTGCTAGACCCGATTTGGTCAGAAATGAGGCTCTTTGCAGAGGTGTTAGATCAGAGAGCAAGCAGCACACACCGGCCCTATGGCTGCTGTGTGTCGTGCGACCAGAAAAGTTCATCTAACAAGAGGGGAGAGAGAGAGAAGGAGATTGCAGCCTCAGGCTGTGATCATCGCCTGTTAGTTTGTAATGCTAGGAGAGCCTCCTCATGCTGTTAGCACAACCACCAAGTCTGCCCCTCCAAGCACCAGAGTTAGAATGCATGCAGCTTTATCACTGCAAATGAATTCATTTACCCATGACCAAGGTGGGAAATATGACCTTTTCACGCCTAGGTGGAGAAAAATGGAAAGAGTTTATGTACACGATACAGACATTCTTGGGTACAAGTCTTGTAATTACAAGAAAGGGGGAAATGCAGAGGCATCAAGCCCTGCCAAGAGCGCAAGCCCAGCTGTTCTTCAAACCTCCCCTAAATGCTGCTGAGGTTTGGAGCTCCTACTACTGCTCTACCGTGCTCTGTAAGATGCCAGCTCAGCTCCTCTCCACCAGCAAAGAGCAGAGACTCAACAAACATCTTAAAAATCTTTTAACCATCAACAGGGCAAAGGAGGTGGGAATAAATGGAACTGTAGTGATGTAGCCGAGTTGCTTGTTACTGAGTTATGTGGCTTTTACATGGGAACAGAGTCATGCAGGTTTTTACACAGCAATGTGGAGACACGTTGCAGACACTGCACTTACCCACAGCATGCASAGACCTTGGGAGAGGCAGGAGGGCATGGGGGGAGCAGAGGTAATGAGTAGGACAGGGACCACTGACCCCAAGCTTAGCCAGATGGGTATGTGCAAAGGAGGACAGGGCTCTCTGCATGGCCCTGCTGTGGTAATAGCCTGCAGAGAAGTGCATGAGTCACCTCCTCTCACTTCAGTGAYCTGCTAAAATTCCCTGTGGCTGCTCTAGAAATTGGGGATCATTAGGTTGGGTTTCTCAGCATTCCTCAGCTACAGTCTRCTCCCCATCACAGGCAGCCAGCCCTGGTAATTATCCAGATTGCCATCACACTCCAAAGCCACCTCCACTCCGCACAGCAGTCAGCCTACTCGTCACACTGCGACTCTGTACAGCAGTACTGCAATTCGAATTGCTCCCTAGGGACTAGCCAAGGGGCTTGCAGCTGAAACCCAGCCCGGGCACCCCAAACAARCACTGCTTGGGGGGAGTGGGGTGGTACGTGGCCCCCAGCAGCCTCAGAGCATGCAAACCACAAGATCTTGTCAGTTCTCCCCAACACCTCCCTTCCAAAAGGGAAGCACAGCGTCAGAACATCTAGAAAGTGGCATTCCAGGSTTTGCAAGAGGTGACCTGCCCTGCTACCCACTTAGCAAAGTGATTGAGCGTGTCTTGTTTTCTAAATGTACTTTTTAAGATGGCAAGAGTTCAATTATTTAGTTTTTTTTTCTTTTCTTTTTTTTTTCTTTTTTAATTGAAGATGTGCTGAATATTAACATTAAATTGCACTGGCTTGAAGTTTAACATGGAAGATTACCCCAGTGCCAGGCGCATGACTCACACTCYGCTCAGGTGACACCAAGCATTGATCTCAGCACCACTGTGTGAGCAGCAGCAGCAGMGAGCTGCACTTTGCTCTCTGCTCCCTGAAGCTGCTCCTCCAGCCTTGCATAAAACCACAGGAGCTGGCGCTACGAAGGGCTGCAGGAAAAACCCTCCTGCTGAACTGCAGCTGGTCAGCACCAGAGAGGAAGCTCTGAGTTGGGGCAAACCACATGAGAAACACGCACATCCCTTTCTTGTCCTGTGAAAGGAGCTTCTGCTTTGCGGGCTGACGCACAGCTCAACCAGGATGAGACACTTCCCCTACATCAGCTGGAACTAGCTGTTCATGACGCTTTCTTCTCCCCTAATGGATGAGGAAGGAAAGCAGACAGGACACCACCCTTTGAGAGGGCATTTGCTGCCTGCACTAAGCTGCTCTTAGAGGGAATCTCCAGATTTGCAGTTAATGCACTTCCCTGCATGCCAGGAACTATGGCAACTCCACCACTATTTACTTGGGAGCCTCCTGAAGGTCACATTCATCTCATAAGCAGGTTTGCTGTCTGGGTTTCAGTATTGAGAGGCAGAGTCTGAGARATTAGGCAGCAGGGGCAGAGCAAGGGCTTTGACATCCTAACAGCTGAGMAAGTCACGAGCTTTATTTCCTCTTTACTTCGTAGAACTCAGCACCAATCTTGCTTCTCCACCCCCTTGGGATTTTGGCTCTCCATATATTATTAGTCCTACTGGATAAAAGCTGTGCTGGGTTAAAACAAGCCAAGAATAGCTTCTCCTCCAGGAAGCTTCCCAAAACACACTCGCCTTTCATAGCAAAAATACATCTCGACTTACCCTTTGTCAAAGAAAGATGTATGTCCAGGATGAGGGTACTTTGTGCCGTTGCTGTTCATCACGCTGCTGCTAACATTCCCTGAAATGTAGGATTTCCGTGACGCCTGGTCCTTGGCAAAATTCCTGCAAGCAGCTAATTTGGATTCTAAGGCCTGTGAAAGAAAAATAAAAAGGTRATTTATTAGGGGTTTTTCTGCTCAAGTTCAGGCCTCAACATGACCACAGATGCCCAGGCCCAGAAGCCCAGTGTGATGGAATAAAGTTTAGCAAAATCTGAATCAAATGGAACAAAGTTGTGTGTGTCATTCAGTTACAAAAGAAACCTATTCTGAAATGCTGATGCAGACTGACAGGCACAATTCCCTTCCATTAGGGTTTGGATTTTGCAACGCATCAGTTCTCAAGGAAGCCAAATCCTAGCAGAAGCTATATATTTTTTTATTTATATATATATATATATATATATATATATATATATAAAATAAAAACAATGTAACAATGTCTGGGGAGGAGTCCGCATTTCCATGTACAATGTCCTTGGAGAAACTTTAGGATTTTTTTTGTCTTCCTCTAAATAATCTCATTAGCTGCTTATGTCAGACTCATGGAGCAGGAGTTTTCCCCTGACACCCACTTCCCYACAACAGCAGAGCTTTCTTCGTTCTGGCAGAAGGCAGTTGGCAGTCCTGTGCTATCCACTCCTGAGTCATCACCCAGTAAATAGGTCTGGACCTGTGTCTACTCCAGGAGTGAAGTCCTGCCAGGTTCATCATGGAGTGCCATCTGTGATGGGAGCTTGCAAGAGACTCTCCAGCTGCCATGCCTGAAAACTGAGCTACTGCAGGCACAGGAGTGCTGAAATGCTCAAGCACGTTTGTGTCTGATCCACAGATGACTGGACTTCAGTATAGCTAAGATTTGACTTCCTTGAGCTCCTTCCTTGGGCTCCTTCACCCATCTCTACCACTTCCAAGAAAGCCTGCTGAGATCCTTCCTTGATATGKAAGGCACAAGTCTCTCTGCTGAGTGCTGGCAAGGAAAGGCTTTCCACAAAGTGCCACACTAATTTCCTCTTCAGTTTGTTCCATTACCTGCCCTTTCTGCTACCTAGCACGTGAACCGAGACCCAACTTGACGAATATCTGCCTGCTCCAGCAAATCCTTGCAGCTATTTGTAATGTCTAAGCTATGCGTGTGGCCATCCACACGCTTGCAGACACATATAGAAGATAAAAAAGCTCAAGTCCTTCACAGCATGAAGAATTCAATACTGCTCTATGCAGAAAAATACTCCATTAATAAGGCAATGACACACTAAGGTATAGGCCAGGTCTATAAAACCTTGTTCTAGCAGCCCATTTAGGCTTCCTTAGTGACGATATATAATATATATATATATATATATATATATATATATATATTTTTTTTTTTCCTCTCTCTTATTTATTGTTCTCATAGCATCTTTCAGATGGAAATAGCAAATGTGATCCCTGCCAAGTGACTCCCTGTCTCAGCTGCAAGGCAGGAAAGGTGAGGGCGACTTCTTGGAGAGAAAGGGAATCTAGGGCACAGGCTGAGGCTTCTGCCAAGTAGCCAGCCCTACAATTAGTAGCTGAACAACCTGCAATTATTAATGAGTAACTTGCAACTTGGTATCACTAGCAGACTGCAAGTCTAGGAGCAGGCCAGGAAGCAAGCATGTTTATTTGGCATTTCCTGTCCTTGCCGAGTAATCCTACRGGATTGTGATTAAGCTCCCTAAATCTCCTACAGACTCTTACTCACAATGATCYCATTTTAAACATGCCACTCTGTAACCCCAGTGCTCCTGCTGCCCTAGCAAAGCAGCTATGCACTTGGCAGCTCMAAATGCAGGCAACGATATGACTTTTAATTTCAAACTCAGCCAAAATAACTGCCTGGGCTGCGATTATTGCTGTAAAGATCGCAGAGTAAACCCTAGGATATGGAGGAAAGTCAGCACCAGAGGCTAAACACGATGGCTATCCGTGCCTCCTCTCAAACACCAGCAGTCCACTGAGGCAAGGAACAAGCTCCTCATGCCTGGAAGCAAAAGTCATTCTTCACTCAGCTGGAAAGCCTGGCGTGCTAAGCAACACTGTAACAGATGTTTGAACCATTTCTTCCCTGCTTATAGCTATAATCCCTTTAAAGGCTCACACGTTTCACTTCCCCATCCACTASAGAAGGGAACATTTGGCATTCTCCCCGTTTCTTTTTTATCTAAGGACTTGACATTTATTCATTTCGAACCACTGTTGCAAATCACATCATGCACAGGATGACGGATCCCATCTCACTTCCCCCGAGATAGAGAACTATTGCACAGTGGGCACAAAAAGGCTTTGCTTCCCAGACTTGGTCTCAGAGCGACGAGCCCCATTTCAAATATGGGGCTGACAGTGCCTAGCTAACATATCAAAAAAATTTGAAAAGTTTTTTTGCTCCAGATGTGAATTTCATCACCCAAAGGCGGCATCAGCATCTTAGCAGCACAATTTACAAATCAAGGTAAATTAATAGCATTGTCATATATGAAACATGTATCCTTTGAAAGAGACATCTTGGAAACTACAACACATGCTCAGCATGGGCCAAGCCCTCTTTTTAGTCTCATGCAAGGATCAAAGTTCATCAACACAAGARCAGAACTAGATCAGAACAGAAATTCAGCACAAGGCACTCACCCCTACTTTCCGTAAGAGATCTCCCACAATGTTGAGYGCAGATATTCTAGCTGAAGGAGTAAGAGGGCTGGTACCAAACCCATTTGGTATAGCTGCAAACACAAACAGATTTTAATTGTAAGTGCCACAATTCCATAGTAATAAAAATAAGAATTAAGTTCCCCATAGAAGGAAATCCAAAATCCTACTGCAGATTATTCATGGTCAGCGGAAAAAAAGCTCAATTCCTGGTTACTGTCCTCCTTGCCATTAGGCTGACATGCAGAGTTCATGCACTCTCATCTGCGAGGCTACTGCATGCAACCCATGTAATCCATCCAGGCCGTGCTCTGGAATCTAATCTAATTTAAAAAATAATATATTAATCCTTGCGATTGTTCATAGTCCTCCAGATGGGGAAGAGGAATGAACTAATGGATTGCTGCCTCCCACTACACACACACACACACACACACACACACACACATACACACATACATACCATTGAACAGCATGTGTGCTAAAGACATAGCCTAAACTGCCCAAACCGTACTCACCATTTAGTGGGTAAGTGAGCAATTCCAAACACCTTTGGTACTCTAGTGCAGGGAGAGTGTCCACACGAGTTTGGTGTGAGGCTCGGACTCATTTTCTGACACAGTTGCTCACCACAAACCAAATGTATGCTGTTCTCCCAGGATTTAAAACACCTTATGCAATGTACACAGTGCTCAAAGGCTTTTAAATTTACCCCAAATTTACTAAAAGACCCTGGTTTGACATAGTTGATGAGCTGAACATACTTCCAAACAACTCTACCAAGTTTTTGTGAAGTCTACCTTTTGGGGAAGGAAAACTATTTTCTGATCCTTTTCCAACCGGTGTAGCTGGCAAGGAGAGAGATGCCTGGACAGCCGAATCCATCTTCTCGCAGTCCAGAGTTGGAGAACTAGGTGCCGACTTTCGAGTGACTTCCTGTTGCCTTTCCCGTACTGCCAATTCTTGCCTTAAGTCTCAAGGGTGAAAAAAGAAAACAAATACATTAGTGACTACTTTCTTTAACAAGCACACTCCCTCAGTTCAACAGGGAGTAGGGAGAGCAGGAAACATGCACAATATTCAGCAATAACCAAACAGTCACAGCTTAYTATCAACATTTTCTATTACAGTTGGAAGTAAGGCAGCAAACATAGCTCTCGCAAGACCACAGCACTGTGGGGCCCCCGGAACGCAGGATAAGATACTCAGCTTCATCATTTTTCCCCTCCCTGTAGTTTATATTCCATGGAAAATGCATTATAGCAATCTCCTAGGATGTCACAGATGCCTACTGAACTGTTTAGCTTCTGATAAAAGTAGAGGTTGGGAAAATGAGGGAATGATATAGTCACAGCTGAAATGAAGGTCTGCTTGAACTCATAAAGGAGAAGTTGCAATGGTTGACTGGAAATTTTATATTTGACTTTGACACTGTACAGGTTTTTCATGGCTAATGTTCCTGCAGGTTGTCAGGGGAAAAAAAAGAAGAAAAAAAACACCATGTAGCTTTACTAGCCTAACAAATGTTACAAGTTTCCAAATGAATCATCCAAGAAACAGGATGACCTGTTGGCTGATTATTTCAGCGCTCTATAGAACACTGCCCTAGGCTTCCCTGTTTTGTTAGTATAACTGACTTCATCTCAAGTAATAATACAGATATTACTTCAGAAAATATTTAGTTTTCCCTTTTCCCATTTGTTTTAAGAAATAACTGTATTTACAATGATAGCTTTTGATTTGCAGGCATGAACACATTTAAATGAGGCAAYGTTCAACAGGTTTAGAAGGAATGGAAAACAAGGGCTTGATTTATTTTAAGGAGGCTATTTAAGCATTTATTATTTCTTTCCCTGTCATTTATCTTCTCTTCCCACAAAACACAAGCAAAAGGAATGGGAACTTTTGGACCATGGTCCTCTGCTTTGCTGCAGTTGTGGACTGCCATTCTTGTGTGCGCATCTTGGCTAAGAATCCTGAATGAATCTGGTACTTTTTCCCTACACAAGGGAATTTTCTCCCTTAACTATACAAGATGTACAAASAATACAGAACACACTGTGTGTAAGTAGCTTGAAACACTTAGGTTACATACCTAGTTTGAGTCCCATTATGAGAGGCTTTGTATAAACATGAGCTTTGGCTGCTGCACGTCTGTGTTAACAAGCCAACAATGTACTAAGACACAGAATTAATCAAGCGAGCATTACCTCTTGCTTCATCCTTTAATCTCTGGACAGAAACTAGCAACGATTCCTTGTCATCCAGTTCACTTTCTAAAAACGCATTTCTCTCAATAGCCTGGTTGAGCCTTTGTTCAAAGTCTTCCAATGAAACTATTGTTGCTCTAGAAACAAAATCCAGAATATTAGGTTCTTCGGCTTCACTAACATAAAAGCGTATTCAAAAACATAATAGAGGAAAAATGTTAGCAGAGTCTACATTGAAGCTAGTCATTTGAAAGCGATGGAAATGCTTCTTAGCAAGGGCTAATAAACTCCAATCAACCAAGAATGAGATGAAAAGAACCTGATAGCATCTGGCTCTCAGAGACGTACCAAAGAGCTTGGAAAGTGCTAATCAAGCACACCTCCATTTTTCCCAAGCTGTTCTCCAAAGTTATGCTTATTATCAGTGTGTAAGCTCCAACACTCCAGAGCTCTAACCAGAGAACAGCCTAGGTAGTCCAAAAAGCACTAGGATGTTACCTAAAGCCCAATTTGTTCCATGATTTAAATGAGGAAACTCCTCTGTGTCAAAAGCTAGTCGTGTGGCTGAAAGTCTTGGGGAAGCAGGACCTAGACTCYTGGATCTCTTTGCCACGTAGCCAGAGGCTCACTCCTGCTCCTACTGAATCCATGGCAAAATTCCCCGTCAGCAAAACAGAAGCATGATCCACTCCCAAGGTGTTTTTAACATCAACCTCTTCATTTTATGCATTTACCCAAGAGGCATTTGTTCCCCACAGTCATTTAGGCATTACGTAAGAAAAGAGGAAACTCCTTTAGCCTGTTTGGTTTAAAAGGAGCTAAGTAAAACACYAGCTTCTTCCTTCAAAGAGGCTTTGAGCTACAAGGATCACAAATGGAAGAGTCACGTAGCTGGTGGTATGAAAACCAGTGCACTAGCCTGGCTTGCTCTAAGCCTGCTTTTACTGCTTGTTTCTCACAGAAATACAAAGCACTTCGAGCGTCCCTTGCCTTTCTTGCTGCAATGTAATGCTACCAGTTGATGGATGCCAATTCAAAGTCTAAACTGCACTGTACAAAATCATATGTCTTGGATTTTGAGGGTGTATTTTTTTCCTTAAAAGGAATAATAAAAAGGAATATAAAAAARTAAAGACTTGGTGAAAATCCTAGGGAAATGAGAGGCTTGCAGTTGTCACCTCTTTGCACGCTCCAAGTCGTCGTTGGCCTGTTCCAACTCCCTCACATACTTATGCAGCTGATCTTTAATGGCCCGYGTCTGGCTCAGGTCATCCTCTAACAACGACACCTGTTTGTAACTCTGCGCATATTGGTGCTCCAGTTTCTCCTGAAAGAAAGAGAACTAGTGAGATAAACATCAGTAGCACACATTCTCCAATTCGTCAGGAGCAAAATGGGGCAAAGTAGCACGCTAAGCGTTAAACTGTGGTCTGCTCACTTCTGATTGCTGGTAACAAACAGCAGGACCTGGAGAGCTGGTAGGAACACGCTCTGAACATGACAACAGGGCACAGTCTACGTTTACAAACACTGCATTGTGCTCAGAGACCTTATCATAACACAGCTGGTTGCTCGGGGATGCATCTCCACAGCTGTTCCAAGTGGTCTGCACTGCCAGCTGCTCGGAAGCCTCAAACATTCAGGATGTCAAAAAGGAGCCCAACAGCACTGCCTCTCCGCGAGTGCATCTCTGTAGGTAGCAACCACACTACTGCCCGACATTTCCAGGAACAAAGAGTGGGAATCACTGGATTTGGTTACAAAGCTTCCTGACTACGAAGAGAAGCTCCACAAGCTCATTTCAGAAAAATTGTAGAATTCATTCCTAAATACACTACTAATGGTCCTGAARGTACAAGTAGGGGCTATCAGGAAAAAAAAAAGAAAACCAAAAATTGACTTWACAAATACTTACTGACCTTACAGATATAATTAGGACTGGATAAGTTTTATGAGATTATTTGTTCTCTTATTTCCTTTGTGTAGGTTCCTAACCCCTCTCTTCACTATAATATCCCTGTGCTACAAAACAAACAAACAAACAAAAAAAAACCCTAAAAAACTAAACCCTTTTCCAAGATCCCAGAAGAGGGAAGAACTTGTTAACCTCGTGGCACTAATTAAAAATAATCTTTTTGCACCCCTATTTCCACAGATACTGTTGTTATGAATGAATTATGAGAAACTCTGAAAGACTTGAGGGAAAAAACAAAACAAAACAACACCTCTCCAACTTCCTTGCAGGCTCTTTCACAGARCCAAGGAGATATTCTGACAAGAAAAAAAATAAAAAGCTTGCAAAGAAAGATGCCAATCCAGTAGTCCAAAAACCAAACTTGTGTTGTCTCCTTGTTGCTATGTTCATGTTGCTCACGTGAGAAATACTTGGCAAAGCCTAGAGAATTCAAACCAATGAGTAAACTCAGTGTTTAATGATATGAACAAGAAAAATTCTTCTAGAATTTTTCCCCATAAGCTACTGGCCTTATTTGGAGTACATGCCACACTCGAGGCTGGATCTTAAGCAGACGACTACTTTACTCCATTTGGATACACAGTTAACTCAAGTACATCAGAACATCTAAAACAAAATCTAACACAAGAGGCATTGCCACCACAAGCAAGAGCTACCTTTAATGTTTCCACTTCATATTTGAGTCTTTGGTTATCTGCTTGCAAATCTCTGTTCCTTTGTTCAGCCTGCACTAGCTGGGCCTCCAACTCCGCTTCTAGTTCTCTGCTTCCCTCCTGAAATTCAGCCAGCTCTTCCCGAGCTTCCTGGAAACTGTAAGAAGAGAATATTATCCGTTGAAAATCCAGCATCTCTCAAGTCCAAATAAAAAATACTGACCTTTAAAAACGACAGACTGAAAGACAGACTTTTGCATGACTTAAGTGTGATGATAACAGATGAGATAGTGAGAGAAGGAAATTACATTAAACTTAGCTATAAAATTAATTCCCTTATGTCCTGCAATCAGCTATATTAAATGCACGTTTGAACACAATCTGTCTCAAGAGATATTGGACTCAAGGAGTCTTTACATACACTTTGCACTGCATTTGCTTTCACTGCTAGCAGTCTTGAGCAAGTCAAAATGAGTTTTGACCTGATTTGGGTCAAAAATTATGTAGGAGAACAAGAGTTACTTCATCTCTGTACTGCTCGGAAATGTAAGGTTCTTGAAAAGTGTTGAGACTTGAATGTTAGTCATTAAGCACTTAGGCAGGAAGCCAGCACATACCTCATTACCTAATACCATTACAAGGTATTAAATTGTTAAAAGTGGCCACTCCACATACTTCACTTACTAAATTTGCATCTTTATCATTTTTAATAGYTCAGCTCTTAGCAAACAGCAGTGAAAACTAGAAAGGTTTTAGGAAACAASATAAACCGTGATGTCAGGGACAATTTCCTGACACCAAAGTTTAGTGGATTCAAGGCCCCTATACGTGCCCATCCATGTATGCAAAGAAAAACATCCAAAAGAACTATAAGCCCAAAGAGCTTACAGGAGGTTTAACTGGCAGCACCTGGAGCTGGGAGGCCCTTCCAAAAAACAGCCAAACAAACAAACAAACAGGCCAGAATACTAAGTATAATAAATACATTTCAGTACATTGCAATAGAAACTCAAAGGACCACTTTTTATACCAGTAATTCAACTACAAGAAGCCTGAGGGAACAGTTCTCATGCAAGGCAAGTCCAAAGGAAGCCTTTTTATGATAAAATGTCAAGCTACTACTTAAGGCAGCACTTTAATTATATAAAAGAGGTGCATGTTAGCAGAAGGGCTCTGTTCTTGCTTGAACATGCTTGAAACATAGCCTAGAGTTCATGGAACGGTGCATGAGATATTCAGCTTTCACAAGAAGCTGGAAATTTTGAAGCTGAATATGGAAGACTCATTCTAATGTATCTAATGCTCAGCAATGCCTTGCAGAGAAGCACATTGAGCCTGGTCACGTAAATTCCAGTCATGAAGAACCAAACCCAGTCTACAAATCCACCACAGTACCTTTGTTTGTACTTCAAGGAAAGCTCTTTCCAATAAGCAGTTTCCTCCTTCGGACTTGAGAAAGTTGGAATTTCTTCACTGTCCATGATCAACACAACCTTCAAAAAACAAAACAAACAAAGAAAAAACGTTGACGAAAGCCAAGACAGACAGACTGCCCCTGAAACTGCTGCTCACTCCTGAACTCATCATTGTGGCCTTTCCGACAGCGGCATCCGACCTTGGCATCCACAAATGGGATGTTCATGAGCCCTAACAACAGTCAATCAGCACAGAGACCTGGAATAACAAGAAATGTAATTTTATCCGGCTTCTGGAAATGCTTGGGCAGCAGACTGAAAAGAAACCAAAGAGCTACCTGGTGCCTATACTCACTAAAGCAGTAGTTTATATCAAACACTCATTTAGTACCACCTTTGGTAGGGATATTAAGTTAGCACCATTTCCATTTTCATTCATAACATGAATATGCTGAAAACAGATTTTATCTGTCGCCAATACAATGATGCATTCTACAATTCCTCTTCGAGTTGTGCAGGTTCATAACGAATGAAGACAAATATGTCAAGGTCAGCAGCTAAAAGGCTGCGCAGAGGAGACTGAAACTCAGTTTTGAGAAGTTGAATCCTAGCTAATTTCTGCTTTCATAAAACCATGAAAGTAACAGAATTTTCCAAAAGTGTTGTGCCCTTTGCCCTCTCAAATCAGCATAGGGAAACAATAATGGTCTTTTCCATATAATTTCCCCAATAATGGGGAAATTAAGTAGCCCCCATCACACAACAGTGCTTCTAACCTGGAGACCTTTCCCATGCCAAAACGAGCTCTTTGTGGGTAAAGAGAAGTTAGGTTTTTAAGGCTGCAATTGCAGTGACGCAGAAGATGCCAAAGGAGGCCACGTTGTAGCTGCAAGTATCTGTACTCCTCAGTGCCAGTGCTGGCTAGTTCTGAATCACAACTGTTTCACTGTTGGAGTTAATGAAGAAGACGTAGGGACGGTTCTATCATACAGAGCATCATCAAAAGTGTTCCAACAGAAATGGTTCCCAAACCCCTCCAAGATAGTTTGCACAGATCTTTTTACCAACACAGCATTTCTGAGCCAAAAATCAAGCTCTTCTTTACAGCAGAGACTCTAAACACCCCTTGTATCGAGCTCCTCTTGGTAGATCAATCAGTAACAGCTGACCTACAATTCTTGACTTCCACACTCTGACAGGCACCAATAGCCTGTGCTGTCCCCTGAGGCCCAGATATGTCCTATAACCCTGTGAACTGCATTTTAGACACGTAAAAGTGGGACAAAACAATTCCAGTGCTTTCACTAGAGGGAAAACAGGCTCATATCAGAGACTGGTATTTTGCTCACAAATAAAGCGAGGCAAAACCAGCACATTTGTTCTTCAGCTCAGACTGCAGCTGCTACAATTCAGGGCAGGAGAACAATTTTATCTGAAAGAATTGTCAGTCTCTTCCCTTTTCCACATTTTACACTACTGAGAAAATAAAACACATATGTGGAGCCATCATAAACTCCTAGCATATTTATTTTCAGGCCCTGTGCAGACAGAAATTTGAGGTGCTCTAGCTGTCTCTCCTGTTTGCAAGGCTGTTTATCACAGCACAGGGACACAACCCCATAGCCTATGCAAAGAGCCTGATTACAGCAGATATAAAAGACCCATGAAACATCCCAAACTGCCGCCGATTTGCAATAAAACAAACAGACATCTCCTGAACTGCAACACAAACCTGGGTCAAGAGAAAGGTGGGAACAGCTTGGGTCAGCTGCTGCTGCACACTGAGATACCAGTCCTGGATCACGCTGGGAACCTGCTCTGGGAAAAGCCCGCCGACCTTTTTCTCTAAGGAAATTCTGACCTGGCACACTTGGAAAGGCTTAAATCAGCAAGAAGCACATTTTTTATCCTGAAAATAAAGAGATGCCTAGCACAGAACTGAGGCTGATCCCGCACCCCCAGAGCATCTGCTCTCACAAGGCAGACAGCCAGGAAACCACCCATCAGTGATCTGGAGGAGACTGGGAACAAGAAGGCATTTTACATAATTTCCTAGAAGAAGCCAAGATAAGGTAAGCCTAGGGACAAGTGCTCTTSCTGGCCACTCGCACAAGATACACCCTTAGGAAAAAACACCAGAGGATACCTGGAAATGCAAAGTCTGCAGGGAAAAGACGTGGGAAGGGCTGCCCAAGATCACAAGTACTTACACATTCATTGACAGAAGAYGTGGAAGGTATTTTTTACTCCCTTCCAAAAGGTTGTTTCCTTTTAGTTKCCAGAAGGATGAGATGCAGCCCTTTGGTTCTTCAGCTGCACTGGGCAACAACTTAGCTTCCCCAGATCTACCCAGGATCGCTGGATCCATCAGAAAGGGATGAAGTTCACCTTTTATGAGCATCTCCACCATCCTTAAGTGGGTGCTGTCTCATGACTATCAACACTGTAAGCATTTCTACCATTGTGCCCAATGCTATCAGCATGGACTTTACTTTTTGATCTGCCAACTTCTACATCAGACTCTTACGTCACTGTACTGCACTTAACKCTAATATCCATCACCCAGATTTGCTACACAAAACATGGTTGTATTGTTTGACTTCTCTAACACGCACACACTCCCACAAACAAGGCGACTTAGGGCCAAAATACTCCTAGGAGCTGGGAAACACAGATAACTCCCAAGCCTCCCACTGCTGCATGTGGGAAATTCATTAAATCGCTTCCTTCCTGACACCCTTGGGTCATTCTCGCTATTTAAGGTGTCAGCTCTATTCAGACCTACCTAAACAGTCACATGAGCCTGRCTGCAAAGGGTTCCTAGACATTATAAAAATATAACTTAATAATTTAAGCATATAATTTGCAGAATATTAAACACTCCAGAATAGAAGGAGTTTAACAAGTAATGCTTTGCTTCAGTGTCTTGGTGATTATTCCTGGTTCTGAGCATTATCTAAGGAGCTTACAATTAGCATGGCAAATACTTCTTATTCATGGTCTTCTTTGCATCCGTGATATTTGCCAAATGCAGCCTTTGGTGGACAATACTGGGGCTTTCAGTACCAAAACAAGGCAACACAGCAGCATCTTCCAGGGGAAAAACAGAGCAAGTTTCTGCTGAGATACCCACTTGGAATTCACTGCAGCACAGCTATGCATTCACAGAGCTCCCTGGGAAAACTTGGCGGCACGGGCACACCTCCAAAATCTAAAGCGGCTCTAAAATAAGAACTATGCTCAAACTTGTTCTTTACAAGCCCCTTTTACACAGTAAGCAGGACAGAGCAACTCAGAGGAGATCCTCTCCACTGCTAACACAGTGCAGTTGCTCCAAGCCGCGACCGCTCTGACAAAATTGCAACACGCGGCTTATGAAATTCAATAAATGCAAGGCTTTTTGGACAGGACAAACCTGCCATCAAAAACATCCCTGGAGGTGGGATGCTTAATGTTTTCTGGATGTTATAAGAGCCCAAGGCTGAGCCAAACATATAGCAAAAGTAAGCCCATTAAGGCAGACCAGATTCTTCCTCAAGTACCTTAATGAATTTTGCATTCGAGGCCCAGCTGAAGTCTTTATGAAGCCWCTTTTCAGCTAAGTCATTAAAAGCACAAACACAGCTTGAAGCATAACAGTACCTTAAAAAAGCTGCCCTGACTCCATCATGTGACTGTAGGCTGCTCTTAGACCTTGGATTAAATATCAGACCCAAATATGAAGTCTGAAACACAACATGATGCTTGGACTTCGGCCCAAATCTTCCCAGAGTACAGAATTCACTTCTCCACTCTCAAGGCATAATGCAGCTCTCCGAAACATCACTCTAAGGATGAACTACAAAGTCAGATCCAAACTGTTTCTAAGCATTGCTAAGACACAGCTGCAGTTCACCCGGGATGTTACTATAGGCACGTTCGAGTGATGGATAAACCACATCCTTCCCAATTTGAATCTCCCCACATTTATGCAACTAGAGCTTCTTTCTATTCATGAAAAAAAAAAAATCCCAAATAGATCAATTTCCTAACTTTCCACACAATCCTGCTTGCCCAATGAACTTGGAAACCTAACATGAAGGATTAAGGAGAAGAGGCAAAACAGAGTTATTGAAAGGAACTTTGAATCTAAGAAGAAGAGCCTGCCAAGCTAGGAAGAGGACACAAGCTACGGTGCTGGGACCCACCCATCCATCCACAGTTTGCTGACCCACCACTTAAGGCAACACAAGCGTCAACTGACCTTTGGAATCAAATATGTCACTTCCCAAAATAGGACTTGTTAAGGAAATTCCACCGAGCTCGCATCTGGCCTTCAGTTCCTGAGATAACAAGATAGCTGTATTTGTTCTGGCCACGAGAGTCCTGTTTTCTGCAGGAGCCAGTCAAGCGCCGGGTTGCCTTCCTGCAGGGAATGACTCCTCCATGGGAGAAGGCCCAGGTCTGAACTGACACGGAGAGCACGAAGGATGGTCAAAAAGCAAGTCTCCTACCTCTCAAGCTCATTCACAGAGAGAAAAACACAAGGGATCCTATGTCTCCTTTTCTGCCAGACCATAATAGCCAACAGGTAAATCCCAAAGCCTTGTAAATCCTGAGATTTCACCAAACCATTTCAGGACTAGAAACTTGAATCCTGTACTCCTAAATAAATAAAATCAAAGCACATTTGCATGATCTGTCAGTTATTGAAATGCTGAAAACAAACAAACAAAAGTCACGGATCAGGTTCCATGGATCAATATGCACTTGTTTTTCCTCATCCTGAAATAGGAGCTGGAAGTGCTCTCCCGACGCTTTGGAAGGCTGCCTGCTGCCGCTGTAAGCGGCTGCAAAGCGACCAGTCTTCTCCTGCAACGCTATTTTTGAACTGAATGTTCTCTGGTGAACCACAACAAATGCCTTGTTGCTTCTTACAACAGTGTACGAGCTCTCAAGTTGCTCGGGAAAGAGTCACAGAGCTCAGCATCAGCACTTCGCTCTATAACAATAATAATAAATCCTGCATTTTCAATTTGGACAGCAGAATAGGTGGATGATAACTGAAGCCTACCTGCCTGTGTACCACGTTTGGACTAAAAACCTTTAAAAATAACCAAGCATTACACAGTAAAACTTTAATATCTCAATAATCTCTTGTGGTATCAGGCATATTAACCAAAAAGCCTAGGCAGTCTCTATGGCAACATAGTCAAAATTTGCACACTCAAATAGATTAGATATCAAATCTGGTATCTAATGTGGGGGGAAAAAATTAAAATAATTAAAAAAATTTTGCAGCTTTAGCCAGAAGAGGGATGTAAGCCTTGAAACAAGAAAGGCAACACTGACCCAAGAAGCCTCCTAAGGCACTTGCAAAAGGAAAGTCTTAAGATGCTGGTGTACCAGGAAAAGGCTCAGTATCTGCAAAGATACACATTCAAGAACAACCTGGGTCTGACTCTAAGAACTGGAGCTCTAGGAAGCAGTTTGCTCCTAGCTTTGTATCTGGGAAGCCCTAGTGACCAAACCCAGGCAGAGCAGAAACCTGAAAAGCAGCAAGGAGTAACCAGTAACCCAAGAAAACGAAGGCTGTGAAAAGGATTAGCTTCTCCTTGCCTCGGTCTCCATTCTGAAAAGGAAAAAAAACCCAAAACAATAAAACAAACAAAAGAAAAAACACACCACAACCAAAAACCAAAAAAACCCATCTCTTTAAGAATGCAGGGAAGCCAAAAAATGATCTATGATCATGTTGCTCCTATTGCACGTGCCACATACCAAGGAGATGGACTAAGTGCTCTCACATGAGCACAGCAAGCTCCAAAACTTCTCACTAGGTCGACAAGGCTGGCAGCTGGTACAAGCCACATCATGCCTGTGCACCAACACACACCTACAGCTTCTAGATATTATTCATCCAACTTGTATCATTTTGAATTCCTAACTGCCTCGTTTGTCTTTAAATCTTGAAAAAAAATACGGAGCATTTTATCCAGAAGCAATCACAGATTGGTTGAGGTTGGAAAGGACCTCTAGAGGTTGAGTCCAACCCCTCTGCTCAAACAGAGACAACTGGAGCACATTGCACAGKGTGGCATCCAGGCAGGTTTTGAAGAAGGAAACTCAGCCTCCATATTATCTCAGCAATTAGCTTCATCCCAGTGATGACATTCCCTGGAAAGGTGGTGGCCAGAGTGCTAAGATGTTTCTGGACATTGGGAAATGACAAGCACCTAAAAATATTCAAGGGGAAAAAAAAAGAAAATTACTTAGTGAAGGTTTCTTATGAGTGAACTCTCGGTTGCCTTTTGAGCCTCTGAAGGCACCTACCAATGAAAAGGCACCCACCAGCGAAAAGGCACAAAACCTTCCTGAAAGAACAGCCCAGGCCAGCCAGCCTTCAACAGAAAGGGCCTTGCACCTCTTCAATAAGCGCTTAACAAGATGAGAGGGGAGAAAAAATAATCCCTGAACTCGATCAGGAGGGTGAAGAAGGGCCATCCGTGACTCGGCTCTATTGACACAAGACCCCTCTAGCAAATTGGTTATATGAAGAAAAACGTTCTTTGACAGATATGTCCTGTTTTGCTCGTGGATGTGTACTGTATCGCAGTTAAAATGCACTGCAAATCTACTACAGCTTCTTCTGTTCCTAACATAGGCATAAATGACCTGGGGGTTTTTAACGGTTATCTAAAAGCTGCAGATTTTAAGGTCAGGATAGATCATTTAATCCGGCCTCCCGCAGAGGTCAATCCCTCCACTGGGTGCTCAGGGATGTCCTCTCCTCCACTAATGGAAAACGTTCAGGATCTCAAACCAGGCGGCAGAAATACGGGCCACCTCTCTTCCTGCTCCAAACATCTGCAAGCAGCTGTTTGTTTACACATCTGGCCTGAAGACACATCTCAAATTTGGGACCTAGATTTTTCACACTGGTCAGGGAACACTGCACAGGGTCCACAATACACTTCTTAAGGCAAACTTCATAGTTTACCCTGACTATAGCAACACTAATGTCAAAAAAAGAAAGGAAAAAAATCTTTAAAAAGCATATTGCCTTAAGTCCTCTACTTCTCAAAAATAGTTTAATAGGTAGAGGACATGAATACTACTTGGTTCTCAAACGTTTTGGTGGTCTCCTCCCATACATGACTCCAGTGACAAGACTCCCTGTGGCACCAAAGTCACAAACATCATGATTATTCTCATTTCTCTTTGTCTTCTGCCTTTTCTTTCTCTTCTTCCTTCCCCTCCTGACTGAGCTGCTATCTCACACATCAGCAACCTCTACACGAGCAGGAAAGCCAGGGCTTTACCCCCAGGAGCTGGAAAGGAAATGGAATTAGTGTTGCTCTGAACATGTCCCATCACATTTGCAATCTGCAACAGCAAAGCTTTGCCTAAGTCTAAAGGAGAATGCCTTTTGGCTCCACATATAAGACATGAATACACAGCAAGGCCTAGGACCGAAAGTAAGAGCAGTTTTCCACAGCAAGCACAATATTACTAATTCAAAAAGCACATGATTTACCCACACCCACCSTATCACCTTCCAGAGTAGTTATCTGGCACTCTGAGGGCACACACACACCCCCACCAACACGATAAACTTAATAACAACAACAATAATAATAATATCCTAAAAACTCCAATACCCCTTGTCTGCCCTAGCACAAGTCCTTCCTATTACAGGTATGAAAGCCTCTAGCAGAGCTCTGACCTCAACAAAGCCACTTCTCCTCACAGTGCCCAAGACTTTTCCAGCAATTTAAAATTTCCTTAAGTGTGCACGTGGCTTTTATTCCTCAAAGGGAGGGCTGCAGCTGTAAAAGTCACAGCACCACGAAGGCGCTGTTGACACTCACGACCAAGCTGCAATGGTGTCACTTGGAGGAGAAGCCCTGAGTCATTCGACAGCCCAATGCAAATGGATAACAAGGAAATACAGGGTAGTATGAAGGATGGATATATTTTAATGGGAAAAGACACRAGAGAGCCCAATTCTAGTAATGTATTTTCCCTCGTGTCAAGGCAGTCATGGCATGTCTGGCACAATTTGGGTCGGATTCGTCAAACCATCAGGCTGCTCACATTTGGTTAAGATCATACAAAATAAGGCRGGGGCAGCTAAGCTGAGAGAGAAAAACAGAAAAAAAAAGTAACTCTTAAAATTACTAAAAAAGTACTTATAGATAAATATTGCAGGCATGCGAAGCAACGATTATTTTACGCAATTTCTGCAAAAGCAGCTGGGGCCGCGGGAGGAAGGGGAGAAGGAGCCCGGGACAGCAAGGTAAAACCACCCTATTTGCAGCAGCCTCATCACAGGCAAACGTCAATCAGCTTCTCCACAGCCGCTGTACGAGGGGTCGTCCCAAACCCTGCCCAGCTCCCACGGCTCTCGTGGCACGAACGCCCTGCACAACAAGGCCCTTCACTGCTGACAGGTTGATGATGAATCCTACGCCCAGCTACACGTCTTCTCCAAGGGCTGGATGAGGGAAAGACACCACCTTAAAGGACCAAGGCACATGCGAGGCAGGCTTGGGGGGTATAAGGAACAAGAGCCATGCCCGTTCACAGCCAGACAAGGGGGGGAAATTTGTAAAAGCGAGTCCTGCGCGTCACACAGCGTCACGTGGCGGCGCGACGGCCACGGCGATGGAGCGAGGGGTGACGTGGGACGAGTCACACGTGATTCCCTCGCGGGGGGAGGCAGCAGGGGCAGGCGCCGCGCTCCAAACACCAGAACTGGGCAGTTTCTGCCAGGCCTGGCTCACACGCTCACGGTCTGGCTCSGGAGAGCAGAGCCCCCCGCTCACCGGGGCCTCTCCCTGCTCTACAGCGGGATAACCCTGTACCTGGGACGCGCTTGGAGGGTCCCGGTACCCCCCGGGAGTCCATAACTCCCAGGGGTTGGAAAAAATAAGGAGCCGGGAAGATTTCCCCAGGTTTCCCTCAGTCAGGGCACAGAGGCGGCTAACCCGGCCCCGCTCCCCACAGCGCGGCGAGGCTGCCCGTCCACACGGCTGTCCTCCCCTTGCTTGGCTCCCCCACCCCGGCCTCGGAAGCCCTGGAGGCGGCGACACAACCAGCTGCCCGCCGGGAGGCGGCGAGGCCGCCCGAGGAGCCCCGGGCCCGGCCCGGGGGCGGCCGCGGCCCCGCGGCGTCTCGCGCAGGGTGGCGGCCGCACGGGCAGGGCAGGGCAGGGCCCGGGCGGCGAGCGACCGATTGACACGCGCCGCCGCCAATGGGAGGCGGSGAGTGCGCCGGCGGCGGCCAATGAGGCCGCGCAAGGGGCGGGACGTGCCCCGTTGTCAATTGGCAGCCAATGGAGGCAGGGGAGCGGGGCAGCGGCCCCCTCCGGACCCCCCCCCGGTGTCTCCCCCCGCCCCGGTCCGGTCCGGTCCGGTCCGGTCCGGTCCGGCCGCGTGAGGCGCCGCGGCCGCCGCGGTCCCCGCGGGACGCCCCGCGCGCCGCCCCAGCCCTCGCTCACCCGGGCGCATCCCCTGTCAGAGCCGCTGCATCGCCGGCCGCCGCCGGACCTGCCTCATCCGGGCTCCGCGGGGCGGGGCCGCCGCTGTGACGACACGCTGGGGGGCGTGGCCAACGCAGGACGCGCCCCCTCCCCGGGGGGCGGGGCTGTGGCCGGCAGCCGCTCGGCTCCGCTCGGCTCCGCTCGGCTCCGCTCGGCCCCGCTCGGCCCCGCTCGGCTCCGCTCGGCCCCGCTCGGCTCCGCTCGGCTCCGCTCGGAGGCCGGTGTGAGATGAGTGTGTCGGGGCTCAGCTCCCGGCTCCGGGCAGCGCGCACGGCCTTAAGCCTCTGTCCTGGCCACACAAACCCCGGTCTCCCCCAGCCCTGAGCCGCACGGCAGCATGGGGGGAATTGGCCATATTTCTATTGTATATTTATATTCCCTGATGGCTTGCTCATGGAGCCGTGGGGTCCCGTTTCACCTCRTCTGAGCCTCCCGTCCCTACCTGGCTTGAAAATGCTCAAGAGGGCCCTGAGAACATCCAGGGGACTGGTGCCCTCCCCAGACATGCAGGACATCCTTCAGCAGGCAGAGGGGTTCCCAGACTCCCCACCAGCATTTGTGCAGGAGACCCCAACTGTCCCCTCTGCTTCTCTGGGATCTGCTCCCGGCTTGTCTCCTGAGTCCCCTCAGATCCCTGCAATGAAGCAGGGAGAACTCCTGGAGAAGGGAAATCCACCCTCTTAGGGGACTGTCACCGTCACTGCCCATCCCTGGCTGCTGCTCCGCCAGTGTCTGCCTTGGTGGTACCACCCAACGTGCCCTGTGGTGCCCTCACACAGCCCGGGCGCCCACCCTTTCATCCACCTCTTACTCACTTCTCCTTTGCATGTTTAATTGGCTGCCCCTGTAATTAGCCGCCCAGCTTGTCATTAGCGGTGCTTGGGCCGGCCCCGTGTGCCACCCTGGCTGAGGACTGTGCCGGATACTGCCGGTTGTCCCCTACTCTTCTATGGCAGGAAGAACACCCATTTTTTCACATTGTGGGAAAAACACCCCCTTTTCTGCACAGAAGATGAAGATGGAGATAGGGAGGAGGCAGCCGGGGGGCGAACGCTGCCCCTGGGTTTATTTGCTGCTTGCGTGGCTGGTGCTCGAGGAGTTGCTCAACTGCAGAGGGAAATGGGACGTGCTTGGTGGCTCCCACTTGCTACGTGGTGGCTTTGGCCCGTCCGCACGCTGCCTGGTGAATAATCGCTTAGGGGTGACCTGGAGCTCTCCTAGAATGGTCCCGGAGGGAGGCAGGGAGCACTGGATCTCAGGGGGCGGTCAGGATCATGGATCTAGGGATGCGGGGAGGAATGGGACAAGGAGGTCTGGGCAGGATGTGGTGGGTGATGGAGCTGGGAGGGAAGTGGTGGAGGAAGCTTAGGAGCGCTTGGGGATCTCAAGCCATGGGTCTGGGATGGCAGTTGGACCACAAAGGATGCAGCAAAGAGGACCGAGCCGGGAAGCAGGATGCCACTCTGGACAGCACGGAGCCCAGCACCTTCCCGTGCCGCCCCAGGCGGCTCCGTGGGCGCCGAGGGGCCGGCTGGACGCCGGCTCCGCGTGCCGCCTCGGCAGCCGGCCAGGGTGATGCAAGAGCCCTGCAAGGGAATGTGTCCTGCGCTCGGCAACAGAGCCGCCGCATTTACCCTCCCACAGGCACGGCCCCGCATGCCCGGCACGCCTCCAAGCCGCCCGTGTTCATCCCCGTTTAGCCTTTCTCTGAGAAATGCTGCTGCTTTTACTGAAGGATCTGAGTGCTGCCTTAGGGGGCTGGTAACCTCGGTCAGGTTGTTTCCTTAGACAGAGCTGGCTGGTGGTTCCTGAGCAAACTGCTTGCAGTTCAGCTTGTGACATGAAAGCAAGGTACCCCCAAAATGCTATTTTTTTTCTTGATTATCCCCTAGGCATATTATTTTAGCACCTCGTGCTTAAAATCGCCCATGCATCAGCTGGTTCAMAGCAGGGCACTGTGTGTAATTAAAGGGGTCCCCCTCCTGAAGACTAAGGGGAACTCCGCAGGGAGAGGAGTTTTCCCAAAGGCCCCTTTTCAGTGCCCAGAAAGAGTTTCTGCAGAGGAAATCTGGCCAGGCCCATCCTGTCAAGCAAAGCTMTCAGGGTCTGGGTGCAGAGTCTTCTCCAAGCGTGCGTGCCCTGGGGTTGTGCCCACACAGAGAAGGGGCAGCCAAGGCTCGAGGCTGCTGGAGGTGTGACATCCTCGGGGCCCAGGTGTCCTCTGCTGAATGTCTCCATGCTCAGCAGATAAACCCACCCCAGAACGGTTTGCCTCGGTTTTTATGGGAGTGCCTGAGATGAACATGGTCAATGGGGAAGCTCCAGGGAGGGAGAAAACCACTGGCAAATGAGCACAGAGACTCTGCACTAATACATCAGTGCCAGGTCATTCCTGGGCTCTAACTCCTTTGATTTGCTCCTCTAGGCACAGCCAGGGCAGGTCACAGGCAGCAGTGTGAGCATCCAAGCACCGGGACTGGGATCCCCATGGGGAGAACAGCAGGAGTAGCACAGAGAGGGGCTGCACGTCGGGGAGCCTCCCAGTGCATGCTCTGGGACGAGCTGCATTTTGTGCCGAGCATCCTTGTCTTGGCAATGCGCTCGCCTTTCTGGTCCATGCCCCGCTTGGTCCATCTGCCTTGGAGAGAGAAAGCCTGAGTCCTGCTCATGCCGGGGCAGGAGGGGTGTGCGGATGGTGCCTGGGCAGCCTGGACACCCACAAGGAAGGGAGGAAGCTGTTGAAGCTTCCTCCCGTCATTCTTTCCCAACATTACAGATGGCTTTTATAGGAGATAAAGGGTTCCCTGGAGATCCTGGAGTTTTAGGCCACATACCCACAAGGAGCTGCCCAGTGAAGGGAGACTGGAGTGACAGTATGAAAGAGACCGGCCATTCGTGGCAAAGAGGACCTGATGGGAATAGGTTGTTGCAGGGCGGACATGGGTCATGAGTACATCGGAGGGTTTGCAGTCTGCACTGTTGCACGGGCCTGGAGCAGGCACATGGTGTCTGTCCTTTGCCACTGTGGCCACAGCTGGGACATATATCCCAGTCTTGACTTTCCCAGACCTTAAACAGGTTCAGAGACCCACWGCCTCAGAGGACAGAACGAGACCCGCAGAAGGTTTTCAACCAGCTCCCAGGGGATGTAGGATGTAGGATGTGCACACAGTGGCATTGCCATGTCCTCAAGGTGTCACCATGTCCCAGCACCTTAAGGACACCCACTTTGTCCTGCACACTGCGTGCAAGGCACAGGGTCCAAAGCYTGCTCGTGTCCTCACCTCCTCAATGCCAATGCTTGTGTCTGAAATGCCACCCTTCCTCCAGAGYCGCGGGAACAATCCACCCTTGTGGAGCTGGAGGGCAGACCCCTCCTGCATTCCAATGTGCCACTCGCCATCCCGGGGGCTGTTCCCAGGGAGAATCCGTGGGTCGAACGCTGCCGCTGGGGCAAGTGCAGCCCCGAGAGACAAGCTGGCAGCTGCCCCCCGGCCGCGCCGCTGAATGGGCGCCTTCTTCTCCCCCGCACATCTGCCCCGCGCCTCAAAGCGTCATTGTTCTGCCGCGACGCTCGCGATGCTGCCGGTGACGGCAGCCGCCGGAGCAGGATCCCAGCGGGGGGATGACCGCATGGGATTGGGAGGGGAAGCGGGAGCGCTAAGGATGAGGAAAGACGGTCACTGGCTGCGCTAGGAAAGAGAATGGATAATGCGTGTTTGAGGGAAAACAGGGGCGCTGCTTGTGTCCGTGCAGTGATAATGTCCCTGCGAAACGGAGGTGTGGAGCAGAGGCTTGTCAGAATGGTGCTGCTTGTGTTGTCCCTCTGCACAATCCAGAAATCTCTGCCTTGGTGCARCTCCAAGTCACTGCCCCATCCAGGACCCACAGGGTTGACACTGTCTTTTCAGGTGCGAAACAAAGTGAGTGTCTGGCATCAAATAAAGTGAGTATCCACCATCCTGCTTTTCCCAGATGTCACTTGGTGTCACCGAGTGCAAATGCCAATTCACTCTCTGGCCACGGGCTTCAGTCCTGGAGTGTGCAGAAGAGCTACCTTCAAGCTTGTGGTAGAACAACAGCTTTTTGGGGAAAGAAAGCAAGAAAAGGAAGAAAGGAAGAAAGGAAGAAAGGAAGAAAGGAAGGGAGAAAGGGAGAAAGGGAGAAAGGGAGAAAGGGAGAAAGGGAGAAAAGGAGAAAGAGCCTTGCAGGAGCCCCCAGGGACCAGAGCAGCCCTCCTAGGCATGGGAATACCCTATTCACAGCATCACTGGGTGGTTCTGCATTGGTTGAGGTCACCTGCGTGTGCCAATATGCTGACATTTGGTGTCAGAAGAGGGCTCCAGGAGATTCTTTGGTCCGTAATGGGATGGTCAATTAATGGCAGCAGGGAGGCAGGGGCAAGACAGAGGCATCCTGCTCAGGTCCTCCAGCAATGCAGGCAGCAGCTGCTCAGCAGATCTTGTCATGATGGGAAAAGGACAGTTGGAAAGTGGTTTCCAGCTATTCCTCGGTGCTTGCTAAGCGTGAGTGTGCCATTAGAATGGCCTGGGCCAGAGTTTCGATCTGCGGTAGCATGAGTAGATCCCATCTCTTGCACAGTTCCTGGAAAAGGGGCAGCATCCCGGCTTGGGAGGGCAGCCCCATGCAGGGGTTTGCTCCAGTTCTCCTGGCACTGCAACTGCTCTTTCCTCTTGGCACCCTGGACCGTCCCATCATACAAAGCCCATCCAAGAGCACCACCTTCTGGATACAGCAAAAAGAGCCCAGGGTGAGACCTGGCACTTCAGCTCCTGCTACCGACCTTTGGCCATCTTCCCTACATGGGCACCTTGGCAGTGCATCTCAGGGACCCAGCATAGTGCGGAGATTCCTGGGGGGAAAAGATGCTCTGAATCCACGTGAAATGCTCAGTTTAGCACTGAGAGTGATTGGCTTAACCTGGTTCACAGCTGATGCCAAATCATGGTCTCCCAGCCCTGAATCCTCCCATTCAGGGGGTCCAATGGACAGGGTATGTCCCACACCTGGACCGC